CTAGAAAAATGTTCTGGAAATTGATAGTGGTGACTGTTGAACCACTCTGTGGATATATGAAAAACCACTGCATTGCAGTTGAAGGGGTGAATATTCCAGTGTGTGAATTATATCTTAGTTTAAAAATGAAGTGGAGTTGTGACTAGACCTCTAATGTGCAAGGGACCTCCTCCCATGTCCTACCTCTGTCACCTGGACATGTCTAAGTGGCCCTCCTGACATCACCTTGACCCCTCTTGGTCGCTCTATTAGTCAGGGTTCTTCAGAGAAATAGAACCAATAGGATATCAACATCAACATTGGTATTGACACCAATACCTATACTGACAAAAATATTGATATAGATACATAGAGAGATCTAGATACATAGAAAGAACAGCTGTTCACCCCACAAGCTCCTTCCTGTACCCTTTGGGAGCTCTATTATTATTATTTTTTGAGACGGAGTCTCACTCTGTTGTCAGACTGGAGTGCAGTGGCACGATCTTAGCTCACTGCAACCTCCGCCTCCTGGGTTCAAGCGATTCTTCTGCCTCAGCCTCCTGAGTGGTTGGGACTACAGTTGTGCGCCACCATGCCCAGCTAATTTTTTTTTTTTTTTTTTTTTAGTAGGGACGGTGGCTCAAGCCTGTAATCCCAGCACTTTGGGAGGCCGAGGCGGGTGGATCACGAGGTCAAGAGATCGAGACCATTCTGGTCAACATGGTGAAACCCCGTCTCCACTAAAAATACAAAAAATTAGCTGGGCATGGTGGCGTGTGCCTGTAATCCCAGCTACTCGGGAGGCTGAGGCAGGAGAATTGCCTGAACCCAGGAGGCGGAGATTGCGGTGAGCCGAGATCGCGCCATTGCACTCCAGCCTGGGTAACAAGAGCGAAACTCCGTCTCAAAAAAAAAAAAGAGCCTAAGTTTAGTCTAACGTTCCCTTTTCTAGAATATGATCCTGGTCCACCTGCCTGGTCTCTTAAGCCATGTCCCTTCAGTTCCTGTCTTCCTTCTGCAGGACACTTGACCAAACATTCCAGAGACCTTGATGTCTCCCTCATGCCTTGAACATGCCATGCACAATGCCATGGAGAAACTGGACTTGGGATACAGGGAGACCTGGTCAGCAAGTCCAGCTCTGCCAAAGACTAGCTCGGTAACCTTGGGAAAGTCACTCTACCTTCTGCTTATTTTCCTCATTTGTCAAAATGAGGAATGAGTCCACCTGTCTCAGTCAGTGGTCATGAGGTTGAAGTGACAGAGTATCTGAAGGGCCTTAGAGAACCAGTTTGGCCTAGTCTAGCATCCCCTTCCTGGGGGAAGAGGCCTCTCTCCTACTCCCACCCTTTGGTTCTGTGGGCTGCTAGTCAGGGTCACTTTTACATCTCTAGACACACAGGTGAGAACGTGGATCTCTTTGGGAACTTTCAAACTGGAGTTAAAGAAGGATTGATTGCCTCTTTAGGATGGAAGAGCCTGGAAGATGTGAAGTGGGGAGTCAGTGGTGCCATTTGGCCCGGAAAGCCAGTGTGTGAGCATGGAGAGAGCTGCAGTGGCATTTAATTTTGGGTTCTGGTTATTTCTGCAGTCAGCCGCAGTTCTTTCGACATTAAGCAAACTCACCCATCAATTACCCTTTGACCCAAGCTGGATGAAGACAGGTTTCTGATCCTTGCATGAAGTCACCCGGTTAATTCAGAAGTCAGGGATTGGGGGACCCTTCCCCAACCCCTCATTGCTCCAGGTTTGTGTTCTTATTCTCTGCTCTTACCTTTCCCATGAGATCTGAGGCTCTGTGTAGGCAGGAAAGTAGTCATTAGACTTGCTCTTCCCTGTGAGCCAGCTTGAGGTTCAGTCAGTGTTAGGGCTTAACCCTCGCAGCTCACGCAACGTCAGCAGGGCAGTGAGAGCCTTTGCTCAGGGAGTGGAGGCACTTAGAAAACTTCGAGATGGGTGCCAGGGCTTCTCCAGCTTCCAAGGGAGAACTAAGTTTCGACTTCTGTGAATCTCAATGGCTAACCCGCCTTCGTTTCCACTCAGACCCACCAAATCCAAGTTTCTGGAATCGAGGCCTGAGAATCTGCATTTTTTCAAGCATCCAGGTGATTCTCATGTGGCCTAAACTTGAGAATCTCTGGGCTGAGTCTTTGATGATGCCCTGAGTTCATCGTTTTACTTCTTCAGATTCCTGAGTAGAGCACTGTGGGGAAAGTTAGACCCAAACAAGCCAGTGTGCTAGTTTCTTATGCTAATGGTCACACAGATCTCATAATTGCATGGAGGACACAAGTGTCTCATAATTAGCGTCTGCTGTTCTGTTCCTGGGGGGCAATTGTTCTGCGACAATGGCCAGGCTCAGTGCTGGACCACCAGCTTCCCTCCCCTCCAGCACATTCCAATCCCCTGAGAGAAGAGCCCCGAGTTCTCAGGACTTTAACCCTTTCCTGCCAGGACCCCCAGGGCCAGTGCTGAGGTGGGGGAGGTTCATGATCAGATGCTGGGCCTCCAGAGGGAAGCAGGAGAAGAAAACATGGAATGACTATTTGGGGCCCGAGAGCACTTTGCATTTAAGGCTGTGTTTCCCACTCAGACCTAACGAAGCATAGCTTACAGGGTTGAGGTGCAGGAGCCCCCCTGGGAATTCTGATTTTACTAGGATTTGAGGCTCACTGGCCAAATCTTTACCTCTTTCAGGCGGACAAGTTGCCTGAAGGGCAGGAGGATTTACTCCAATCCCGCATCTGCACTTAAACTATCAAATAGCCTTCTGCCTTCTCAATGGGATTAGGAGTGACCAAGCGGAGGAGGCAGCAGGATGTGGTGACAAAAACACACCTCTGGCCCTAAAACTTGTGTTACCTCCTGGCTGCCATTCACTAGCTATGTGAGTTTAGGAAAGTTGTTTCACCTCTGAGCTGCAGATTCCTCATCTGTAAAATGAGGAACACCTCTCCCTAGTAATAGGGTATTTAGATTGTTTCCACTTTTTTACTTTCTTTTACCATATTCTTAGCATTTTGAGTTTAACTTCAAGGTTCTGACCAATGAATGATCCCAGGAGTGTTCACAAAAACCCCTGGGGGAAGCTTTTTAAAGATTGAAGTCTGTTGAGCTGGAATTCATAATTCATAAATTCATACTCGGAATGGAGTATTTGGATAAAGTTCTTCAGGTCTTCCTAATGCACACTTTTGTTTTTTAAATGTTTTATGATTTATTTTTTTTACAGACAGGGCCTTATTCTGTTGCCCAGACTAGAATGCAATGGTGCAATCACAGCTCACTGCAGCCTCAGCCTCCAGGGCTCAAGTCATCCTCCTGTATCAGCCTCCCAAGTAACTAGGTCTACGGGCATGTGCTGCCATGCCCAGCTAATTTTTTAAACGTTTTTGGTAGAGAGTGGGTGATATAGTTTGGCTATGTCCCTGCCTAAATCTCAACTTGAATTGTATTTCCCAGAATTCCTATATGTTGTGGGAGGGACCCAGGAGGAGGTAATTGAATCATGACGGCTGGTCTTTCCCGTGCTATTCTCGTGATAGTGAATAAGTCTCATGAGATCTGATGGGTTTATCAGGGGTTTCCACTTCTGCTTCTTCCTCATTTTTCTCTTGCTGCCACTATGTAAGATAAGTATGAATCACCTCCTGCCATGATTCTGAGGTCTCCCCAGCCATGTGGAACTGTAAGTTCTATTAAACCTCTTTTTGTTCCCAGTTTTGAGTATGTCAGCAGCATGAAAACAAACTGATACACTGGGTTTTGGTATGTTGTCTAGGCTGCTCTCGAACTGTCCTCAACTGATCCTCCTGCCTTGGCCTCCCAAACTGCTGGAATTACAGATGTGAGCCACCACACCTGGCCCCCTAATGCATACTTTTATTCAAACTCATCCATGAGAGGCCTGGAGGGACTTTGACATGGTTAAAAAAAAAAAAAAAAGTGTGATTTTGTTTTGCAGAAGCATTGATTTAAATTGTGCACACTGATATCTTAGAGCAAGTAAGTTAGCAGGGAGTGAGCCTAGACAAGTACCCAGCCTCGACCTCCCTGTCTCCTTTCTAAGATTTCCAAAGGCTAAACACTTTACTTATTATCTTATTTAATCCTAAATTTGTATTATTGCTCTGGGCTACTCCCAGGCCCCTAGACCATATATCCAGCTACCTGCCTGATCTCACCACTTGGATGGGAATAAATATCTCCAGTGCTGCTGATCCCATGGAACTTCCGATTCCCCCTAAACCTGCTCCATCCTCAACTTTAATGGCAACTTACTTAATAGCAATTAAATTCTGATGATTTCTCAGGCATTTTGAATATATCCTTAAATATTCCCTTTCTCTCACATCCTACATCCTATTCTTGAGCAAATTCCACTGACTCTATCCTTGCAAAACATCCAGAATCCAAAAAGTTCTCATCATACTCATGGCAAACTCTCTGTCCTAAGGCACTTTCACCTCTCTTCTGAACAGTTGCCATCATATTAAGGCAATGTCTCTGATTCTACCCTTGACCTGCCATGGTCGAATGCCACCTTAGCAAGAGTCCTTCCATGAATACTCCGCCTCAAGTGCCCTCCATCCCAAACGCCCTAATCCATTCCATTTCCATGCTTTATTTTTCTCCGGAGCACTGACTACCGGTTCTTGGAAGTCTGCTTGTTTTGTTGTTGTCTGTCTTCTTGTAGAATGTGAGTTCAATCTAAATACCCAACTAAATGCCTAAACTTTAGATTGCTGGGAAATAATATAAATACCTAAACTCATGTAAGGCAAGGACTTTTATCTGTTTTGTTAGCACTGGAACCCCCATGTTTAAAACAGGGCCAAGTGTATGATAGCCTCTCACTGTTACCCATCTATTATCTATCCGTGTCTCTCTCCCTCTCAATCTATCTGCCTACCTACCCACTTACCTATCATCTCTCTCTCTCTCTCTCTATCTACCTATCTGTCCATCTATTGAATGAATACTCACAACATCTAGGTATTATTTTCTTCATTTTACAGACAAGGGAGTGGAGGTCCAGAAGATATTTTTTCCAAGGCCACAATGTGAGTAAATAGAAAAGCTGAGAGGTGGGTGCGGTCATTTTCCCACACATAAAGGAGGAGCCACTTTTTGTAATCGAACTACGATTTCCTTCTAAATGTAGCTCTTGCATTTGCATTTCAGATTGAAACTTGAGACTGTGATTCTCATAAATCAACATGGAGGCTCAATTTTAAGACAAGCCTTCTTTTTAAAATTTTAAATAATTTTTTATTTTATTTTTTAAATTAATTAACTCTTTTTTGAGATGGAGTCTTGCTCTGTCGCCAGGCTGGAGTGCAGTGGCATGATCTTGGTTAGCTGCAACCTCTGCCTCCCTGGTTCAAGTGATTCTCCTGCCTCAGCCTCCCAAGTAGCTGGGACTACAGGCACACATCACCACACCCAGCTAATTTTTGTATTTTTAGTAGAGACATGGTTTAACCATGTTGGCCAGGATGGTCTCAATCTCTTGACCTCATGATCCGCCCACCTTGGTATCCCAAAGTGCTGGGATTACAGGTGTGAGCCACTGCGCCTGGCCTTTTTATTTTATTTTCTGGGACAATGTCTTACTCTGTCACCCAGGTTGGAGTGCAGTGGTGCAATTACAACTTACTGCAACCTCCACCTCCTGGGTTCAAGTGATTCTCCCACCTCCTTTCCAGAGTAGCTGGGATTACAGGTGTGTGCCACCACGCCTGGCTAATTTTAGTGTTTTTAGTAGAGATGGGGTTTCACTATGTTGGCCAGGCTGGTCTCAAACTCCTGACTTCAAGTGATCTGCTCACCTCGGCTTCCCAAAGTGTTGGGATTACAGGCTTGAGCCACCGTGCCCAGCCTAGACAAGAGGCCTTCTTATCCCAGTCTCCTGAATCTCTCTGAGCTATGCCATGCCAACTCTGCAGGAATCCAGACAACTCTAGTCAGTGTAGACCTGAAAAGGAACTGGAGCCTCCATGGCGTTCTTGCTCATTGTTTCCGCTTGTAAGGAATCCTAAGGAGAAAAATGGAAGACTCATTTGCACAAAGATACTTATCTCTGAATTGCGACTTATTCAGTAGAAATCTTGAGAATTGCAAGTCTGAGCTCTGGAGCCCAATGCTAAGAGGTCTGGGGGAAAAGGCTGGTGCTGTGGCTCACACCTATAATCCTAGTACCTTGGGAGGCTGAGGTGGGCAGATCACCTGAAGTCAGGAGTTCGAGGTCACCTTGGCCAACATGGTGAAACTCCCCTCTCTACTAAAAATACAAAATAAATTAGCTGGGCATGGAGGCCCATGCCTGTAATCCCAGGCTGAGGCAGGAGAATTGCTTGAACCTGAGGGGCAGAAGTTGCAGTGAGCCAAGATCGCGCCACTGCACTCCAGCCTGGGTGACAGAGCGAGACTCCATCTCAAAACAAAATAAGAGGTCTGGGAGAAGAGAAAGAACCAGTAAAAGACTCCAGAAAGGAGTGACCTGGGAGGCAGGAGGAGACCAGGAATGTGCTGTGTCCTGGAAGGCAAATAAAAGCATGCCTCGAGGAAGATTCCTAGAAATAAGATCAGAAATTGGTCTGCTAGGAAAAAAGCAACGAACCTCCACTGAAGGATATGAAATAGGACTTCAGTCAATGGACTCACATCTTTGGTAGAAAGTTTTAGTATAGAATGTATGCTCTTCGTCGATGAGTCTTTAACTCAATGTAATTCTAGTGAAAACACCCTACTCAAACTGATGGGAACTTAATGTTATTATAAATCTGGGGCAATTGGTATAAAAGAATAGAACTGAATTTCCTGAAAAGGAAGCATAAGAAGTGGAGCTTTCCGTACCTGTTTACCAAAACATAGTATAAAGGGAAGTTGATGGAAACCGAACCACAGTGGCTTGGTGTGATGAATGAGGGGCCACCCAGTGCAGACATGGGCTTCAGCATCCACGGCTGTGCAGCGGATAATGAAATTGACACTTCACATTTGGAGAGGAAATAATGAATTACTTATTAAATTGTATCTAAATTAGATTAGTCATTTAGATTAAAAAAAAAATAAGCTAGAAACTGTCCCTGAGTCTTACTCCAAAAGACACTTCAGAAAAATGGAAGATTAAAAAAAAAAAAAGCAATCCATACAGTATACAAGAAAACACAACAGAATAGGTTAGCAATCTTTAGAAAAATGAAAAGACTGACAGATTTAATTGTACCAAATAAAAAACTTCTATGAAGCAAAATAAATCAAAATTAAAAGATAAACACAACTGTGAAATAAAAAAAAACCTTTTTTTTTTTTTTGAGACAGTCTCACTCTGTCACCCAGGCTGGAGGGCAGTGGCACAATCTTGGCTCACTGCAACGTCTGCCTCCTCGGTTCAGCCTCCTAAATAGCTAGGATCACAGGAGTGCACCACCACCCCTGGCTAATTTTTGTATTTTTAGTAGTGACAGGGTTTCACCATGTTGGTCAGGCTGGTTTCACACTCCTGACATTATGATCTGCCCGCCTCGACCTCCCAAAGTGCAGGGATTACAGGTGTGAGCCACTGTGCCCGGCCAAAACTTTTAAACATGTATGAGAGAAATGGTTAATATCATTAATGTTAACTTTGGGGTGAAAGTAAAGTTGAGAGCTAAATAAATACTTTGGTAAGGAGAGGAAGAGGCTTAAACTCTGTCCATCAACTTCTTTCTGCAAGTATCGGCTCCCTGTACCTGCGCCAGGTCAGGCTACTTCCAAGGGGCCAGGGGAGGTTCCTAAGTACCTAGAGCTGAAAGTCCCACTTCTACCACTCCTCCATCCTGGTGGCCCACTTGGACCCTCCTGCCCCTCTCTGCATTAGGTGTGATGATAGGGGACAGGAGGAGTACCAGAGACCCCTTTTCTCAGGAAGCAAGACCAGGCTGGCATCCAAGCTAAAGGCAGGGTCTAGGGCTGCTGGGCGGAGGGATGGAGTGAGTTCTAGCTCAGAAGACAGGAGAGGGAAGGCTGAGCACAGCAGTAGGGAGGGGAGGCGAGGAGGAGAAAAAGCAGAGATGGGAGTCGGGGCAGTCGGGCAGCAGAGGTGGGACAGCTGAGGTGGGGGTGTCCCTCCAGGCCCCAGAGCTGCCACTTTACCCCTCCCACTCATCCAATTTGCAATGAGCTCCGTTTACTACATGGAAAATATCCTCCTGAACTTGTTTGCAGGAAACAACACAAGGTGTGAATGCCCACTTTGAGATGTTAATTACTTATTTGGTTCATTTATTAAAAAAATAATGTATTGATTATTTACTCTGAGTCACACTGTGCTAGGCACTGGGAATGCTTGGAATACTCACCACACCCATGTGTTTATAAATTTTAAGACAATGTGAGAATGCTTAGATTTAAAATGGAAAACCACAAATGACAGGTTTCTCTGCCAACTCTACTCAACTGCCTTTCACCAAGGTCAGAGAACTCCAGGGTGTGGCTTTCCTCCTAAATTTACTGAGCCTGCCATGGGCCAGGCAGCACTCTCGGCTCTGGGGTTAGAGTGCTGACTATCCTCATGCATTTATTAATTTAAAATGAAGCCCAAACATGGGGTCACACGGTATCCAAAATGAAATAACCTTTGGACTGACACAGCTTGTTTCAAAGCAGCTGAGATCCGTTGCCTTTTTGGCATTTGATCTGTGGTACTGGGCCAAAAAAACGGGGAGGTGTATATGGGAGGGGATCATAAATGCAGATATTTAATCCACTGTCACTTTGTAAGAGCCCCATTGAATTTTTGATGGGAAAATGTTTTTGTCGGGTTGAGCTTCAGGACAAAAGAAATACAAGAACACAGAGCAGAATTGATAGTGTTTAAAAATATGTTAAAAGATCTTATACTTTGTAACAAAGTCGGCCAGCTATAATGGAAGAATTACTGACACAGCAGAGACCTAGCCAAGCCCTTCCCTGGGGGCCCTGGAGGCTGAGGCGGGTGGATCACGAGGTCAAGAGATCAAGACCATCCTGGTCAACATGGTGAAAATACATAAATACAAAAAATTAGTTGGGCATGGTGGCGCATGCCTGTAATCCCAGCTACTCGGGAGGCTGAGGCAGGAGAATTGCCTGAACCCAGGAGGTGGAGGTTGCGGTGAGCCGAGATCACGCCATTGCACTCTAGCCTGGGTAACAAGAGCAAAACTCCGTCTCAAAAAAAAAAAAAAAAAACTAATCGTCCTGCCTGATGACCACGTGCCACCCTCTCGATGTTTGGGAACAAAATTGTGATGTGACAGACTACACTGTTTGTCCAGAAGAAGACAAAAATGTGTTCTGGAGAATCAGTTTAGACTTAGGGTATCTGGTGAGCCAGTACAGGACTAGGAAACAGATGCCCTGGGTTCTAGTCCCCGCTTCACGGGAGTGACCCTGCCCAAGGCTTGTTCTGTCTCTCAACCTGTTTGCTCCTCTATGAAAGAGGGATAATGAGCGAAAGGAGCTCCATCTCCCAAGACTAAGTGAGGATCAAATATAGTCATTAGTGGGGGAGACAGCCACTCATGCTTTGCTCCTTCCCCGCCCGCATATCATCTCCGTGTTCCAGTTAGAATCTTGGGCAAGGCCAAGAGCTGAATTCAGGGTGGCTGCTTATGTCCTTGGCCACTGCCACAAATTTGTGCCTTGAGGCCTCAGTTTCCTCTATTTCTGTCACTTCCTATGTCAGTGCACCCAAAATCTCTACTAGCCCTTCCATGGTGTAAAATTGTTTTGAGGAGGCATCTTTCCAGTCTAGACTACATTTCCCAGCCTGCCTTGCATCTGGGGTTTAGCTATATGAGAAGTTCTCATCAAGGGAAGGAGAGCAGAAGTGATGTGTCACCTCTGGGCTGGGGTTTATGTGAAGCAGGGGGATGGTAGAGCCAGTGATAGAGGAAGCCTGGATCCCTGAATCACCATATGGAAGAAAGCTGTCAGCAAACAGGGAACTGGCCTCTTCAGTGAACTGGACTCATCAGTGAGCAGGAAACAGACTTCTGTTCTGAGATTAAGCCACTGAAATTCGGGGCCTATTTATTGCAGTAGCTAATGTCACCCAGAAGATACACACTATCCACACACTCACCTCCCCTGGCACGAGCTGTCATTTCAAACCTCTCAGACATTCACAGATCACATCTACACAGATCCAGGGGAACTGGATCACTGATAAGTAGCCGTTGATGGAACAAATATTTATAACTCATCTGCAATGTGCAAGGAGCAAGGCTGGGCATCCCTAACATAATGCAGATCCCACCCCACCCTTCCTGGAGGAGGTCATGTCCAGATCTCCTCCCAAGTCCAGCTGCTGTCCAGAGGCCCTCATTCTCCTGCCTGGGGATCCAGCCCACTCTTAGATTCCTGGTCCTGGACTTACTCTTCTTCAAAACCCAGCCCCTAAGCACTGTGGACAATATATCCTAGAGCAGCAGTTCCTGTTAGGAGCCAGGCAGCACAGCAGGAGGTGAGCGGCCAACAAGTGAGCATTACTACAGCATTAGATTCTCATAGGAGCACAAACCCTATTGTGAACTGTGCATGTGAGGAATCTGGATTACACTCTCCTTATAAGGATCTAATGCCTGGGCTAGATGAGGTGGCTCACACCTGTAATTCCAGCACTTTGGGAGGCTGAGGCGGGCGGATCATGAGGTCAGGAGATTGAGACCATCTTGGCCAACATGGTGAAACCCTGTTTCTACTAAAAATACAAAAATTAGTGGGGCATGGTGGTGCCTCAGCTATTCAGGAGGCTGAGGCAGGAGAATAGCTTGAACCCACGAGGCAGAGATGGTAGTGAGCTGAGATCACACCACTGCTCTCCAGCCTGGGTGACAGAGACTGTTTCAAAAAAAAAAAAAAAAGAACCTAATGCCCAATGATCAGAGATGGAACTGTTCCGTTCCTAAACATCCCTCCCCTATACTCCCGGTCTGTGGAAAAATTGTCTTCCACGAAACTGGTCCCTGATGCTGAAAAGATTGGGGACCACTGCCTTAGAGACTGTCTTCCCCGTAGGACTGCTACTCCCCATCATGAATGTAAAAATACAACTGGAAGTCCTCACCATTCCATCCTCAGCCTTCTCACCTTTCCTCCAACTGCATCCCATGGAGACCTCCCAAACCCAAACCCCCTCCTTTAATCATTCTCTGCCCCCCTCCTGCCTTCCCTTCACTCTTAATCTAGGATTGACCTGAGAGCCAAGCATTTTCACTGGTACTGAGCAAATGCCCTCCCCACCGGTACAGAGGTCAGGGTGCATGTTCAGTCATCCCTGGCAGTCCCAGGAGCTGCTCATAGTTCTCCAGAGCCTTCTCGTTTGTCCTGATTCTTTTGCCTGGCTTCCCTTTAGATGTGATGCCTCCTTTCCCCACACCACACCACACACACACACACACACACACACACACACACCCCACTCGGAGCTGAGGACATCACTGTCCACCCCTGGAAATGGAAACATGAGTTATGGACGCCTTTGTAAGATGATCCTGGTGCCTCTTTAAGTGAAGGGTTTAACTGTGGCCACAGGGCTTGGCCAGCAGACCATAGGGCTGGATTTCAACTTCATTGACTTCCTTTATGCAGTACACAACCTATACAACTGTACATGGTCGACTTGGCTTTGAGTTCCTAAACCTGGCTGGTGAGGTCCTCCCTCTGGCTTGCCCCTCTGGCTGTATTCAGGCCATTTCTGGATTGAATATAGCCAGAGGGGCAAGCCAGAGGGAGGCAATCCATTCTGCCATGCCCTGGATTCTCTACCAATAGGCAGCTTCATGGGGAGCCCTGTGTATAGTGGGTTACTTCGAACCCCCCTGTCTTTGCTCTCACTGTGTCTCTGACTAGAGAATTCTGCTTTGCTCAGCCAGTTCCTGGTCATCTCTGAGACGTCGTTTGGGAGTGCCCTCATCCTGGAAGTCGTTCTGCATCCCGTCTTGCCTCTTACAGCCTCCACTCCCAGCTCCTACGGCCCCCGGGTAACCCCTATTGGCACTCATTGCCCGCCACTGCCATTCTGCCCACACATCTGTCTGAACACAGCCTTTCTCCAGCAGGGATCACATCTGCAACCTTGGTAGCCTGCTCCAGTTCTGGACCTGGCAGCAGAGGACAGCAGGAAATGGAATGAAATGAGGAAAATGGCTTTAATCTAAAAGAGGGCTTGATAGGATGAAATGAATCCATTCTGATAGATTCACTCATTCATGATTCACTGGGTCAACAAATACTTTTTGAGCACATGCTGTGTGCCAGGCGCTGTGCTGGCCCTGGGGCACCGTGAACAGCCATTTCTGGCTACGTGGGAGTTCCCAGCTTTAGCTTACACATACATCATGGGGTCAGAAAGAGAAGCGTAAATAATGATTCTGGTCGGGGCAGTATGAGAGGAAAGGAAAAACTGGGCCTAACCTGGCGGGGTCTGGGGTGGAAGCGATGATTTGGGGAGCAGAAGAGGGCCATGGGCTGCAGCCAAGGCCTGGGGGCTGTTCCCTGCCCACCTGTGACCTTTAAGAGCCTAGGCCTGGAAGTTAGGATCCTGGGCTCCCAGGCCTCTCTCTCATGTGAGTGGCTCAGAGAGCTTGAGCAAGGCACTGCCCAGCTCTGGGTTGCAACTTCGAAGGAGAAGAATCCAAGGCTGAATGAAGCTTGAGCCCCCAGGTCTGATCTCAGTCCATGGGGGGGCCTGTCCTTGGCATAAGCCCCTTGCTCTTGGGTGCAGAGGACACTACAGAGCCAGAGATAGCCAGGGCCTCTTTCCCAGGCTGCTTGCTAACATTCGAAGAACCCATCTGCTCACCCACTGCTGCTAGAGTTGCCATTTTAATAACCAAGTCTAGGAGATTCAATTAAGATTGGGAGCCCCATCCCTCTTCTAGGGAGGCCTCACAATTGGTGTTTTTCTTTGCGAAAGCATGAGTGGGGCCCTTTGCAGGGGTTTTTGTACAGCAAGCAGCACAGAGAGAGAGAAAAAAAACTAACAACTTTGTTCAAAGATGCCAGTAATAGGGGGGTTTCTTTCCCGTCTCCCCATGGAAGGTTGTCAACAGTACAGGCACAATCAGGCCGGCTGCTGGCCTGCTCAGAGAGGGGGACGTGTGCTCCTTTGTTAGGATGGGCTGAGTAGGATGCCCCTGCACCCAGACCTGGTCTCCCGGCTAACAAAGGGCCCCTTTATCACCCTGGGCAAAGAGTGCTGCTGAGGTTGCCACAGCAACTCGGGGACACAGACTTAACGTGCAAGTGACATTTCAGATGGTAACCGGGCATGCAAAAATTCAAATTTCTTTATGTAGAGTGGTTTCCTTCTCTGGATATTTTAAGGGAACCATATCACAAACAAAAGAAAAAAATAAATAAGCTAAGAATAAATAATATACAGTCAAGCCAGCAAAGAGAATATTGCAATTCAGAATGCTGGTTCCTCCCCTCTTGATGAAAAAGTTGGGTGAAAAGTCTTGCTGAAGGCATCGCTGGAGGCCCCGGGTAAGCTGAGGGTTTTTCCTATTTGAAAGGCAATTGGACATCATTAAAGAAAGTTTGGGGGAAAAAAATAATCTGGCATTGCAGTCACTAGACACAGGACACTGTTCCTTGTCTCTGTCTGTGTTTACCAAACACTGCTGGATGATATGCGACATTCCAGGCCGAGAGCTGGGCTGGGGTATGCAAAGAGACGTCAGGCTCCTGCGGCCCAAGGTGGACAGTAAATCGGGCTCCCATGTAAACGTGATCTCCATACATCACTGCATTGCCTTTAGTTGAGGTCAAGGCAGTTGCCTCTCAGAGGAAGTAATGCATATGGCATGAGCAGGGAAAATGGAACTTGGATTTGCTGCCAACCCAGTGTTGATACTTTGTTGCTATTCGCTGGATGGAATGAGGGAGACCCTGAGGGAAGGAAGGAAGAGGAGGAAGGGCAACCTCTACATTCTTCTCTGGTGGAAAGCAGGGTAAATAGCATGATGCAGGCACAAATGTTTACCCAACTGCCACCATAACACAGAAGGTATTTTTCCTCCACATTTTATTATGACAGTTGAATAAACAATGTGGACGGAATATGACAGCGAACACCTGTATATCCGTCACCTAGATTCCACCGTTACTTTCCTCCCCTGGTTTTGTTACACACTTACTGTCCATCTATCTGTTTCTCTATCCATTGATCAAGCTCTCTTCTTTTGGGGGTGCATTTCAAATTGCAGACATCCTTTCACTTCCCCTAAAATACGTCAGCATGTGTATCATCAGTTAGAGTCTGGTATTTGTTTACAATTTTTTTAATGTGAAATTCACATACGATGCAATGTACCAACCTTAAATGTACATTTTCTGAGTTTTGAGGAATGTGACTGCCTATGTAACCTGAGCCTTCACTAAGATATAGTATATTAGGGTTACCTCAGAAAGTTTCCTTATGTTCCTGCCCAATCTCCCCCACTGGCCAACCATTATAGCAAAAATAACGTTCTCATGTTGCTTTGTAGTCGTTACGGTAATACATTCTTCTGTTCACTTAATTCATTCTTTAGTCACACAGGGCCTTCACTGGCCCAGGCACTTGGTACATGTCCCCATATGCGGTGATGTGTAAAGGCTCTGGGTTTGAATCTCAGGCCTAGAGTTTTGTAGGGCAAGCCATCTAACCTCTCTGAGCTCCACTTTCCTGACATGTAAACTGGGGATGGTAACATTAGCAACAGCCTCACAATGGGTAGATTATGTGAGATGATACATGCCAACCACTTAGTACATAGTAAGTGCTCAATAAACATATTGTCTTGATGGACACCACAGCTGAATGGTTGCTGTCAGCACTCCGGAACTTTAAAACCCTTTGTCCATTAACTCGACTATTGTCTCTGTCTAATTTTGGCTACTGAAAGCCCTGCTTCTCTGAACGTTTTTGGACAAGGACATTTAGGCTTCTGCAGAACGATTTTCCAAAGCTCAGTGGAGACTTGGAAGGGAGTGACCAGAGAGTTGTACATCTTTTATTTTTGTGTTCTTGTCCTCACGCGCCCCTTAAAGCGGGCCTGCTCCTGAAGCCACCAGCAGTTGGGGAATGGCCATCACCGGAAGGGGCTTTGCCAAAGGTTGTCCTCAAGGTGAGAAGTAGTAGCTGACTCTATCTTTATTCTCCTTTGCCCAAGCCTGTGCTATAGCAGATGATAGAAAATATGGCACCAGAGGGGCATCTAGAACCAAAGCGGAGTATCGTTATTCTTAGAAGGGAGAAACGTGAGTAGACATTCTCCTGTGGAAACGAAGGAGATTTAAGATCACAAATTCCTGCATCTGGGCACCTCACCCTCGCTCAGAGCTGTTTCTGAAGAGAAGTCCAAAGGTAAGGCCAAGAAACAGCCATCTCTTTCACCTTCCTAACTCCTACTTATCCTACAGTGCCCAGCTCAGCATCACCTCCCTCAGGAAGTCCTCCACTCTAAGTACAAAATGTTCCCAAGCCACTTTGTACTTAACTCTATTATGTTAATCATACTGTATGTAATTGGCCATTTACCTGTCTGTCTCCCCAATTCAGCTATGAGCACAAATCATATCTCAATCATAGCTTGAATCTCTAGTCCCTGGCATGTGCTAAAAAATATCTTTCTTATATTAATTTAACCAATTGGTCAAATCCTTTCTAAGTACTAGAGCATAGGTAACAGATACAAGAGCATTAAAAAAATCATAATACTAAAGACATGTTTACCACAATACATTTGAAAAACCAGGTGAAATGAACAATGTTCTAGAAAAGCATACCAACATTTACTAAGAAAAAATATGATCCAATTATAATTTAAGAAGTTGAATCAGTTATTAAAATTCTTCTTTCCCATTCATTAGGCAAAACCAGTATAACTTTGATACAGACAGCTTGGCAACAACAGCATAGAATTTTAGATAAATTTTGCTTATTAACATGAATGCAAAAAAAAAAAAAAACCCTAAGTGAATTCACTGCAAATGGAGTTTAGCAGTGTATTAGAAAATAAATTATGGCTGGATGTAGTGGCTGATGGCTGTAATCACAGCCACATAGGAGGCTGAGGCAGAAGGACCACCTGGGCCCAGGAGTTTGAGGCTGCAGTGAGCTATGATCACACCACTGGACTCCAGCCTGGGTGACGGAGTGAGATTCTGTTTGAAATAATAATATTAATAACAAATTAGGACCAAATAGAAATCCCAGCAATTAGTTCAATATGAATAATATCTATTTATATAGTACATATTATTAATAGGTTAGATGATAAAACCCAGATGGTTATTTCAATAGATGCCAAAAAAAAAAAAAAACCTCATTGTAAACTACAATTAATTCATGCCAGAAAAAAAATCTTAGCAGACTAGGAATAAAAAGAAACATTATTAATTGATAAAATTAATTTTTTACCAAAGCCATAATAAGTATTTTACATGTCTTAATGTCTTAATGGTGACATGTAGGAAGTATGTTCACTGAAGTAAGGAACATGACAAGAATGCCTGATATCACCACTTCTATTTAACATTGATTCTAGAGGTGCTGGACAATGCAATAGGAAAAGAAAAAGAAAGAAATTGTAAGAAGATTGAAAAGGAAGAACAGAATCAACCCCCACCCCTTCCAGATAACATGACTACAAAGAAAGTCAAAGGGAATCTGTAGAAAAACAGGAAATAAGAGAGTTTAAAAATGTTTCTTGGATACAATATCAATTTTCAAAACTTTAATAGTATTCCTGTCTGTCTGAATTAAAATAACTTTTTATCAAAAAAGTTAATTCTCCCCAAGTTAATTGAATAATTAAATGTAATTTCAAGTAAAACGCTAATAGGGTTTTCTTTTTACCTTAACCTGAAATTTATATGACAGATTAGAAAGATGCAGTGAGGTGCAGTAGTTACAAGTGTGAATTTGGGAGCCAAACTGGCTAGTTACACATCTTGGCTACAACCTGTACTAATGGCAGGTAAGTTACTTGGCCTCTCTGTGCCTCAGTTTCCTCATTGATAAGATAGGGACTACCTCATGGGATTGTTGGATAAGGAAGTTGAGCAGAGTCCAGGACCTGCATTCAGAGTCTTCGACATCTCATCTTGCATACTTTTTATGTGCAGGGGCCAAAGTAAGTCACTTTGTGCCGAAGTCTGCCACACATGTGTTGGTCCATTAGATCTTTTGACCAGCAGACTCTTTGAGTACAAATTGTGAGCTTCTTTGGCTCATTGTCAGAAATAATGGACAGGTCTGCATGCTGTTGGCCAGAGGGCACCATGGCCAGGGCTCCAGGAATGCCAACTGCTACCTCAGACAATAGGTACCCACCTCTACCAAGTTCCTGGAGGAGATGTGTATAGCTAGTACCTGCGTCTCTTTGTTTAAGGGCTTTCTCTTAAGCAGAACTGCCTGGGAATGAATGCCCCTGGGAGTAGGCTTCAACCAAGAGTATTAAGAGAATTGGTGGGTAAAGGCCCTAATTCCTCGTTCTTTAAGTGGGATAACTGAGTATGCGCTCTACGCTATTTCCAGAATTCCCCAGTGGAGCTAGGCTTCAGTTGCCCACAGCAATAATTTGTTGGCTAATATGCCCTTTCTTGACTGTCTTCCTCTCTTGTCTCACTTTCCCACACCACTTCCTGTGTGTCCTGGAATTGCTCTCCCATAAACTGCTTGCACCAGAATCTGTGTCTCAGGATCTGCTTTTGACCTCAACTAAGAGAAGTTGAGCTTTTGAAGTGAGGATTTCCCTGTGGACTTCCATTTTTCATAACTCAATCCAGCTTTACATATCTCACCACATGCACGCTGGTTACTGGGAAGGAAGGGACAGACACAGATGTAGCCAGGGCCTCACCGGAGTGCTGAATTGTGACTTCTGTCACCGGAAAACATGGCCCATCTGTGAGCTGGAATCTGAACAGTTCTTCGTGTGTGTGTGTGTGTGTGTGTGTGTGTGTGTGTATCTATGTATGTGTGTACATGTGTGTGTGTAGGAAGGTCTTCTCTCCAGAGGTGGGCATGAAGCATCCATGCTTTGCTAGCCCCTGTGCTAGTCACTGATATGAGCGAGCCGTTGTCCTCGCCTTGGAGAAAGTCACAGGGCAAATGTGATATTTCACTTCTTTGAGATTCACACTAATAGTCCTGTGCGCAGATGATTATTGGAGCAGCAAATCGGAGCGCTAAGTTGGAGTCTTGGAAAGCAGTCTTAACCAAACAAATGGTACTGGAATTAGGTCTTAAAAAATGAGTTGACATTTGTTAGGATTTTTATGGCTCAGAGAATAGGATTAAATATGCTCAGGACCTTAAAGCTTCCACCTGGAAGTGACACACACCAGTTCTGTTCATGTTCCATTGGCTAAAGTGTCATATGGTCACACTGAAATTCAAGTGGGTGGAGGAGTACAAGTCTACCATGTGCTATAAAGAGAAAGAGGAAGAAGATTCATTACTAGATCTAAGTGCTCCCACAGTTGGGTATTTAGTTCCTCTGTCATAATTGTTTTTTAGGGATTAGATGTTTTGATTTAAAGCCAAGACATTTCCCTAGGTAAAGGAGCGATAGGTGGAGTAGGACTCATTTCCCTCTTGGATCCCATGGGTAAGTGGACACATCTTGTATTAATCATGTCTTATTGTCTGTATTCTGATACTTTGACATTTGGGGTCTTACAGACCCTGGAAGGACTGCATCTTCTAGGGTTAGCTAATACCTAGAAATAGTCAACAACTCACCTGTAAGCCTGTGAGCATAGTTTTCTAATGTAAACCTGTACAGAGCCTATACCTCCAACCACCTGTATTATCGGGCTCTCACATGCCAATTCACTATCTACCTGCCCTAATTACTCCAGGGCCAGGTACCAGACAACTAGGGACAGCCCCTACGCCCCAGAGCTGCTGGAATTATTCAAACAAGCCAATCCAGAATCTGCTGGCCCTGCCTTGTCTGCTCCTTCCTGCAGAAACCACAGGAAAGGCTCTTACCCACAGTCCTCCCCTCTCCTGCTGCCTCCTGACTGACCTGGCATTCCCCCAGTGGCCCCCAATGGCAAGTCATTTCCCCTCCTTCTGACACCTGGGAGTACCAAACTATCTTGTCATTGGCAATCATCTCCTGATGTGTTGTTCTTACCCTACCTCAAGGTTAATAAAACATATTAAAACCCATCTATATTCTGATATCTGAGCTATTTATGATATCAGAAACTAAGATCTGGAAGATGAACAAACAGATAATCTGTGTCTCCAGACTGGACCAGCTGGATTGCTGGCTGAGACCTGAGGTTCCTCTCTCACAGATTTTCCCTTGCAATCAAAGGGAAGAGAGGAGACCCCAAGCCCCACTCCCATCTTCAAGACAACAGATGAGGCTGTGGTGCCTCTTTGGGGGAACTGAGCCATCTACTTCCTGTCTGATCAACTGCCAACATGAGGTGGCAAGATCAAGCTTTGGGGCCTTGGTGGACTTTGCTGCAGGACTTCTCAGAGTCCTCCTTGGTGCTGGCTTCCTCCTTAGGGAAGGAAGTGGATATGGATGGTTGCTTCTACTGGCAGGCTGCAGAAAAGTCAAATAGCTGTCTGTAGCTGACCCATTGCATGTGGGTCTTCAAACTCTGGTGGACATTGTTCTACACCTTTGGCCAGAGTTAGTGGGACCAACACTGTGGAAATTTGGCCAGTAGGAAGTGCTCCAGGTGGGATTTCCAGACTTATGCATAGTCCTGGCTCTATTATTGATTGTCACGTTGTGCATTCCTCACTGGGTCTCACTCTTCTCATCTGTAAAATAGCCACAGTAGTCTTATTTCCTGACCCAGAGTATTTCTGTGAAGACTGGTTTACACAATCTGCAACAGAGGTATCTGCGAAAAACAGAGAAAAATGAAAAAAACAAAAAAATAAAACTACAGTGAGCATGATAATTAATGGTGAAATAGTGATAGTTTTCCTTCTGAGATCAGGAATGAGACAAACAAAGGTGTCTGCTACTATTACCTCTTAACAAAATTATACTGGTGATACTAGCCAGTGCCACAGGCAAGAAAAAAAAAAACTTATAAGAAAAAAGAAAAAAAACTCTAATTTTTACAGATGAGATAGAAAATGGTATTTTTTCAGAACCCAAAAAAATCTACAGATGAATTACTAGAATTAATAAATGAGTTTGGCAATGTTGCTGGATACAAGGGCATTATATAAAAATCTATACTATGTTTCAGACCTATATTGCTAAGTAACAAATCACCCCAAAACTTTGTGGCTTAAAGTAAAAATAATCATTTGTTATCTTTCATGATTTCTGTGCATTTTGGATTCAAGAAGGGCTCATCTGCACAGTTCAGGCTTTTTCATGTGGGTGCAGCCAGATAGCAGATGGAACAGAAACAGCAGAGGCGGGCACAGCTGGGGACTGACTAGGAATCCCTCTTTACTTAGTATCAGGGTCTCTGCATATGATTTCTCCATGTGGGTTAGTTTGGGCTTCTTCAATGCATGGCAGCCTAAGAGTTCTTATATGATGACTTATTGTTCCAAAGAAAAAAGTTCCAAGAGAGGGAGTCAGGTAGAAGTCCTATTAACTTTTATGACCTAGCTAGCCTCCGAAGTCACACAGATTCATTTCTGTCACACAGTTTTTGTTAAAACCCATCACTCAGACTAACCCTTTCCAAAGGGGAAGAGTGTCAAAGAATTTGTGTAAAATAACACTGTACTGACAACAAACAGAATATAAAGAAACCATTCATAATAGCAACAAAAAACACCAAGGGCTAAATCTAATAAAAGATGTCCAAGGTCTCCACATAAAGAACTACAAAACATTGCTAAGATAACTTTTAAAAACCCAAAATAAATGAAGGGACATACCATGTTCATGGATAAGAACTTTTATTGAAAATGTTAATTGTATTCGAATTGCTCTAAAGGTTCAAAGTGATACCAATTGAAATCCCAGCAAGATTGTGTCAGTGTATTTGTGTGTATGCATAGAAATAGGTATGCTGATTTCAAAATTTCTATGAAAATTCAAATATCAAGAATAGCCAATACAGTCTTAAAGAACCAAGTGGGTAGATATATTTCATGGGACATTTAGACTTATAAAGCCACAGTAATCCAGACATTGTGATAATGGCACAGGGATAGAAAAATAGGCTAACAGAACAGGATAGAGAATTCAGGAACAGTCTCATGCACATACAGACTACTTGATTTATGAGAATGTTAGCATTGGAGAATATGAGTGTGTGTGTGTGCGTGTGTGTGTGTTAGGGGTGGTGGTGGTGACCTTTTTAATAAAGAGTGCTAGTCAGTTGGATATCCAGATGAAAAAAATAGAGGACCATGGAAAATTTTTTCTGATGAGGTGTGGCATTGTATTTCTAGAAACAATGACTGCTGAAATCTCTATTTGGAAGCTCTTTCCTTTCTGAGCTATAATTTCCCTCGGTTGTTCCCAAGGCTTCAGTGAATGCCTGTTTCCCATACCTATCTTTTGTTGATGGATCTTTCTAATGGTCCTAGTTCTAGGCCAGGTCCAGCAAAGCCCAAGCAGCAGCTGAGAACTAAGTTCTAAGCTAGCTCCTGAGTGGTCAGGAAGCTCAAGTCCTTTTCTCCAAATGGCATCCTATATCCTAATGCCACACAAGAATGCCATTCTGACTGACTTCTGCTTCCTGGCCTCTCCCCGTCAGACACATCTGGAGCAGTCAGCAGTGAGGCAGTGAAGATTGCTAGCGTAGACAAGGCTTGCATGAAAAGGGGGATGGGGGTGCAACAGTCTAGCAACCAGCTAGTTATATCAAGAACGAGAGGGTTTTTTTTTGTTTGTTTGGGGAGGAATCCTGTTTCACAGTCACCTTTCTGACCCACCATCAGAGCCATCCCCTTCCCATCTCATTTGCTTCCTTTCCTCATTCCAAGAGATGGTAACCGGTAACCGGGGGCAGATCCTAGGCCCTTCTTCAGACCTTCGGGCACTCGGCATTCCTACCGCCCTCCCCTCCCAATCATTAAAAGGGGCGGGGTCCTTCCGCCTTCTCCAGGTGGTTTCTGTTCTGGATCCTTTGGGGGCAGTGGAGTCCACCAATCTGGAGTTCCATTACTGGTGCTGCAAGTCCTTGACTCAGTTTCCCCATACGTGAGTGAGAGTTTAAGTGCGGCAGTCTCCGGGGGGCCTCTCAAGCTGACTCGGACCAGTGAGAAGAGGAGGGGACGGGAATCCTAAGAGCAGCCTCAGGCTCTGGCCAGAGTCCCCCAGGTAAGGCAGCACCCATCTCCAAAGTGGTCCTGTCACTACCTTCCTTTCCTCCCCCCGCCCCCACGCCGCCGGGCGGGGGCAAGCGCCGCCCCCAGTATTTAGGGCAAAGAGTGTCCCACTTCTGCGGAGGGGTGTCGTTCGGGCTTCTCTCCTCACTGTGGGTGGCGAAAGGCGGGACGGGAAAGCGCCGTCAGGACCGGCGCGCCCCGCTCAGGGAGGCTGGGCCGGGACGGGGACCCGGCGGCGGCCCAGCTCCGGGGTGGGACCTACCCGGACCGGCCCGGGCCCCCGGCCCTCTGCAGCGCCCGAGGCCGGAACAATAGCGCGCGCAGGCGGGGCGGGGGGCGGGGGCGGGGCACTCCTCCGGGCACCGCCCCCGGACCGCCCCCCGCGCTCGCAGTCCCGCTCGCACACTGGCTCCCACCCGCCGCCCGCCCAGGCACTGCCCGCGGGAGCCGCCGCCGCCGCCGCGCCCGCCATGGACGTCCGCCTGTACCCTTCGGCGCCCGCGGTGGGCGCGCGGCCCGGGGCCGAGCCGGCCGGCCTGGCGCACCTGGACTATTACCACGGCGGCAAGGTAGGCGGGGGCGGGCTGGGGCCCCGGCGGGCGGGGCCGGAGTCACCTGGCGGCTCCGGACGCGGGCGCTCCCGGGGTCGCACGGGGCCGCGCACAGCCGCACCACCGACGGGCACGGGCGGCTCACCTCGATCCCCTCGCGGCTACGCTCGCTCCCTGAGTTGTGCGGATCGCGGGCCGAAGTCCTCCCGACAGCCACCGTGCGACGACACAGTGGCCCCTCATCCGCGTCCCCCTGACAGCCTCGCAGTCCTTCCGCCGACACACAGGGACCCGCGGCCACGCGCGGACAGCCAGGCACCACTTCCACGGTCGCACCGTCCCACGCCAGTCGTCCTGACAGTCATTTACACACCACGACACGCAACCACTCACACACAAGCGGCCTCGCCGCCACAGACGAGTCACTCACGCACGCTCCGATGCCACACACACCGTGACATGCCCCGATCCGCTGTTACACCCAGGAGCAACTGGGCACAGTCACACAAAGAAGTCACTCGACAGTCACACGCACGCAGTCATCGGGCCTCCCCGGGCGCACGCGGACACACACAGCCACCCCCTGGACGGGGAGCCTCAGATGCGATCGTCTTGACGGCCGCACAGTTCCACAAGGTCACACCCAGGGACGGCCACACCGCGGTCATCCACATTCGCGCGTCGAGGTTTAACTTCTCAGCGCTGCTGCGCACTAATTGGGCGGTTTACTAATTGGCCGTCACTGCCCGGCTGGGCCTCGGATTCCAGTAGGCAGCGGCCAATCGAGGTCTGTCCCCTCCCGGGAACGGTGAGCAGGCGTCCCTCCAGGCTGGGGCTGTAATGCGTGACACCCTCCCTCCTCCATGTTTCCAAGATCGCCGCCCCCACCTCTGTCAGGTCCCCGCCGCTCTTCGCCGGGCGCGTTCCCAGCGAGGGAAGCTCGCGTGCCTGGAACCCCGAACCCAAGGCGTCAGGTCTCACTGCCCCGCCTGGCCCAGCCGGGATGGGTTGGGCGCCTCTGCGCAGTCCGCGTTTCCTTCGGTCTCCGGGGAGGGAACTTTCAAACTTAGTTAGAAAGCCATACTGTCCGCGCGTCCGCCGGTGGGTGCGTCGGTCCCGGGCCGGCTGGAGCCGAGCGCAGCTTTTCGTCACTCGGAGCCCGGATTGAACAGCGCGCGTGGGTTTCCCGTGGCCTCGGCGCAGACGCGCGGGCTCCGTAGCGATGCGTGGTGAGTGCGCGTCCGGTGGCTGGATCCGCGGCCCCCAGGGTCTCTCCCCAACCTCGCAGGCTTTTTTTCATCCGGCCCCTGGTAGTGGGGATGCTGCAGGATGGGGGTGTCCCCGCACAGATCCCGGGATCTCCCGGGCTTCAGGCCCTAGGGGAGCGGCCTCTGACAAAGCACCCCGCAATTCGCCGGGGCAGGAAGGGTCTGGGCCACCAGGGCCCGCGCGATATGGGGCGGGGGTGGGTGACAAGTGAGGTCTTGTGAAGAGTGGGGGTGGTTCTCTTTTGTCCAGTGACCTGCAAAGTTAGAAGCCGAAGAGGGGGGATGGTAACCTCAGGAGAAGGCCGGGAGCTGCTTCCAGTCTGTTGGAGGGAAAATAGATTAAAAGTTGCAAGTGGAGTTTTCAGGGAGGAGAAGGTTGGGTGTGGGGGCAGTTGATCTGTCTTCTGCCCTTGGCTTTGTTATTTTTAAAAACGTGAAGTTGGCGAGGTAGGTTCCAGCCTCTGGTTTGGGGGTGTGAGTGGGTTAGGCATTTGTGCGTCAAAGTCTGAGTGGGTAGGGGCTTAGCCTGGAGCGCTCCCTTTGAGGGTGGTGTTTCTGTAAATCTCGCCTGGATGGGGCTGTCCCAAATAGGGACCGTTGGAGGCAGGACTCAGCCCAGGCCCCTGCTTGATTCTCATGCTTTGTAAACCTCTGACTCAGCACCAGAACCTGTGCGAATCTCCTCAGGAAGGGCTCGGCAGGGAGGGAGTGAGAAGCTGGCGATTCTGGTTTCTGTGTAGATTCTGGTTCTGATGTAGAACCCCTGGCCCACAGGTGAGAATGTGTCCAGAGTCGGGCGGAGCACGGGGGAGGGTGGGGATGCAGCTGAGCCACTGGATAGGTGAAAGGAAGGTCTGACCTTGCACTTGGATGTGAAACCTGCTACTCAGTCCCTCAGGCTCGAGCAGGGTGAGGGGGGAGGGGAAGGTCACTATACTCATCCAGGGCCTAGAAGTCTTTTGGTAACGGATTCTCAAGTGGGCGTGGCCTCAGTGGTGGTGGTTGGGGGGTGGGGCCAGGCTGTGAACAGCAACTCCCCTTTTCTGGCTCAAGAAGTGGATGGGGTGTGGTTGGGGAGGGAAATGCTCAGGCTCCACCTTTAGTCACTATCAAAGCTGGAGGGGAAACTGAGGCTCAGGGTGCAGTAGTGAACACACTTGGGGCCTGTAGGCTGGGCTGCATCCACACATTGGGGGGTGGATGCAACCACACAAAGCAGGGAGGGGGCTCTCGTCCCTGGAGCCCAGACAAGAGGCTTGTTGCACAGGGTGCCGGGCTTTATATACATAAGGGCAAGCATTTGCCTAAGTGATGCCCGACAACTATGGGGCAGTTGACCTGGAAGGGCTCTTGGCGACCATCCCCTTGGCGACCGTCCCCTTGGCGACTGTCCCCTTAGTGATCCTCTACACAGAGATTCCCAGCCTCTTTAAACCAAAGTCACGAACATTGGTTGTTCTTTTGGTATCTTTTGTTTGAGAAAATACACACTGAGGAAAAGCTGCTATGGTTTTATTTTTGCTTTGAAATAGATGTGTATTTTATTTATCACAGTAATATTAGCATGCATTAGAAAAATAGCTTACCAGGTATGAAGAAGATCCATTACTATTTAATGTAATAAAGGCGCTTTTTGAGCATATGGATTTGTGGCCCCATGGCCCCCATGGATCTGTGGCTCCATGCTGGGAACCATTGGTCTCCTTCTTTGCATTACAGAAGGGGAAACTGAGTCACTGAGGCACGTACTCACAGATTACACAGCAAGTAAAGAGCCAAGATGAGGCCTGAGCCCAGGTTTCTGGACTCCCAGCAGGATACTCATTCGGCCTCTTTGCAAGTCTCTGTCACAGTTTAGGATTTACAGCTGTAACTTCTTTCTTAGGGTTACTATGAACTCCATTCAGATTTTGGCAAGGCACTTTACCAGGCTGGGGGGGCAGTTGCTCAACTATGGCATACTAGTGTAAACTGGCTGTCCGGACTGGGCAAGCCTGTGTTCCAATATCTGTTTGTTGCTTAGTGGCCTAGGGCAGATGATTTTTAGCTCATTTTCTACTGAGATATGATTTATATACAATAACATGAAGATTTTAAGTGTACAGTTCCACGAGTTTTGACAAATATTAACACCCATGTACCCAACATCCCAGTCCAGATGGAGAACATTTCCTTCATCTCAGAAAGTTCACTCACATCCCTTTACAGTCAGCACGCCCTATCCCCACCTCCAGAGGCAACTACTTATCTGATTTCTATTACCAATGCTTTGTTTAAGTTCACCTTAGGTATATTAACCATGTTTAAGTTCTCGAACTTGATATGCAACATAAACATTCGTGTGTCCGTCTTTTTGCTCAATGTAATGTCTTCAATATTTATCCACGTTGTTGTATATATCCTAGTTTGTTCCATTTAATGGCTGAGTAATAGTGTATAAATATCATACAGTTGGTTTATCATTCACCTGCAGATGGATATTTGGGTTTGTTTCCAAGTTGGAGCTATTGTAAGTAAAGCTGCTGTGAACATTCTTATACGAGTCTTTTTGTGGGCGGGGAACATCATTTATTATCTCTGAGTCTTGGTGTTCTCTCAAAGACAACATTGCCTGCCTGTGAGTTTCAGGAGGGTTAAGTGAGGTGATACAGGTTGGGACAGTTCCTGGCACATACCAGCTTCTAATTAGATAACAACAATGTCAACCATCTGGGGCCTATTCCAGGAAGAGGCTTAGCATCACTGTTCCAGCATCCTTCATCCCTGGACTGAACATACTTCAAGGCCAACCTGGGCACCACCTTTCCCATGCGGTGTTTCACAGCCAGCAAACTTCTCTTTCCCACCAGGCTTCCCAAAGAACTGGCACTGGATAGGATGTGGCATGTGCTGCCATCAGTCATTCTACCAACAATATTTATTGAGTGCTTCTCGGTGCTAGGCACGATGCTGCAGCAGTGAACAAAAGCCACTCAAATCACTGCCCTCTGGAGCTTCCCTATCAGTGTGGGAAGTCATAAATATATGGTCTTGTGATTGATGGCAATATGACTTTGGAGCAAAATGGAACAGGAAAGAGAGTTGGGGGTCCCAATGCCTAGGGCTGCCTTGTAATTTTAAATGGGAATTGAGGCAGGTCTCGTGATCTAGAGAAGTGTTTCTCAAATCTATGTACACAGGAAGAATCGGCTGGCAATGTTTTTTTAAAATTTAATTTAATTTTAAGTTCTGGGATACATATGCAGGATGTGCAGGTTTGTTACATAGGTAAACGTGTGCATTGGTGGTTTGCTGCACCTATCAACCCATCACCTAGGTGTTAAGCCCTGCATGCATTAGCTATTTACCCTGATACTCTCCCTCCCTCCCCCCACCCCCTTGACAAGCACCGGTGCGTGTTGTTCCCCTTCCTGTGTCCATGTGTTCTCATTGTTCAGCTCCCACTTATAAATGAGAACATGCATCATTTGGTTTTCTGTTCCTGTGTTAGGTTTTCTGTTCCTGAGTTAGTTTGCTGAGGATAATGGCTTCCAGTTCCATCCATGCCCCTGCAAAGGACATGATCTCATTCCTTTTATGGCTGCAAAGTATTCCATGGTATATATGTACCACATTCCCTTTATCCAGTTTAACATTGATGGGCATTTGAGTTGATTCCATGTCTTTCATCTGGCAAGATTTTAAAAACAGATTCTTGGGCTCCATCCCCAGAGATTTGATTCAATTGGTCTGGCATTTGGCCCAGGGAATTTGCATGTCTAATGAGCTCTCCAGGTGATGTTGCTGCTGATTCAAGGACCACACTTTGTGTAGGTGGTTTGGTTGTTTGTGTACAGGTTTTGTGGGCTCCTGGCAGTCAGGAATTCTGCCCAGCACCTGGCATGATGGCTGACCCATAATTTCTCAGTAAATATGTTCTGGTGGGTGAAGGATTCAACTTTCCACCCACATAGCTCTGGGCACAGCATCTTGTAAGGATGAGACCTGGACAAGCGTGGTTAATGAATGATTGGAGACTCTTTCTGACACAGATTCATGAAGTGGGGTTAAACTATGGACTTGATCTGAACTTGACCTATGTGAGGTCTGCCCAGCATCCTTTGTGGGTGAGATTCCTGCAGCTCCTTTCTGCAGGGGCACAGGCGGCTGCGAGTGGGTCCCATGGAAGGCATCCTGGGACGGGTGGGCTTAGAGCTGAGATGGCTGGTCCCAGGGAGTGCTCAGATGGATGTCCGCATCTCTGCTAGGAGTCTCTCATTTACTTTCCATCTAAATATGTTCCCCATAGCTCCTCTCCTAACCTGTGCTGGGGGGTCCTCCAGGAAGGACCCCAGGACTTTTGCATGGTAGGAGCAGCAGCCCAGGCTGGCACTGCTCCCCTCCATCTGCTGGGTGACCCGGAGCCTGTCAGTGCCCTTCTTTGGGACTCTGTTTTCCTTTGTGCAAAGGGAAAGCAAATCAGTGATAATCAGCCTAGAGGGATGGTGTGGGGTGGAAATATAATGAAATACAGGCTGGGGACATCCTTTCTGACTATGGAGGGAGTACTGGGAGGGGATGCTGCTGGGATGGTGCTTTTTGAGGAGATGGACCCGCTATCCTTCAGAGTGCAAGAACCACTGGGTCTGCCTTTACCTTTGTATTCCCAGTGCAAGCCTGACACATAGGTGCTTAGCGAATATTTGCTGAATGAATGAATGAATCTAGCGGTTGCCAGTAGTAACTTGTGGCTTGAGGAACTTAGCATCTGTTTGGGTGTTGTCATCTGAATACTTTGTGGGGCACAAGGAGTCCCAGGCAGGACAGGGTAGAGGCTCAGAGTCTTTGACTGACATTCCATTCCTAGAGGAGCTTCCCCAAGTGGGCTTGGAGCACAGAGCCTGGCACACAGAGCAGCTGGTAGGTGGGAAGAGGAGCTGAGCCTGTATGAAAGACAAGGTCCTGTGCCTTCCCCTTTTGGG